TAATAATTATAACAATAAATACATAGTGTATACATAGTGTAAGTTTGAAAAGCAAGTGCAACCCTGAGTCTAGTCCCTGGTGGCGCTGTGCCTGAGAATGCCTGCCCTCATCATTCTGATCTGTTCCACAGACCTGACAAAAGGGCAGCTCGCCCTCACCATTATGGCTCTCACCTCCTCCTGCCGAGACACTGGAAGTCAAGTATCCATTCTGCAAAAGAAAATGGAAAACTGGGAACCTTCAAGTAAGACCTATGAGGAGGGAGGGAAGAATGGGCTGCAGGGTCCTTCCTGGGACTTTTTAGCTCAGAAAGGACACTTATGGATGTTTGAAGAGTGGAAAGTCAGGGGAGAGACATAAGGCCGCCTCTGCTCTGACAGTTCCACCAGTGAGATACTCACTTCTGAGCCAAAAGGAACTAGAGAAGCCAACTCCCCAAGCGTGGACTGGACAGCCACCATCCTCCCAGAGTCAGCACTGTCCCTCTTCTCTTCAGATGCCAGATGACATTCTTACTCTGAAAACACTGATGTCATCCTTTGCCAATAGTGTGTCTTTTTATGGTGACAGGTTTTCTAGTGGTCCCCAGTATGGTAAGTGTTAATCTAATGATGCTTCTCTATTGTCTCCTGAGGCCCCGGTGCTGATCCCTCAGCCTTCTATGGGCCCAGTCTGGCAATCCTCGCACTGTGCCAGAAGAACTCAGAGGCGACCTTGCCCATCGCAGCACTCTTTGCTAAGACACTGATGAGTGACCCTTCTCCCTTCAGTGTGGGTAAGTTGAAGCCATCAGACACTGACCACGGTGAGAGTATCAGAGTCACAGTAGACAAGAGTTAGTGATGGAAGGAGAAGTAAGGGAGAGGAAACTTCCATGGAGGTGGAGCTGAGAGCCATGCAGGTGTGGGTGGATGAAAAACATTGAACAAATGTTTGTTGGACATGTGAGTTAATGACAGACCTCCACTGGGACAAACAACATGTCACAAGTCACATGTTATTTTTCAAATAAAATGGAAATAGATGTCCTGCCTCACCCCAACTCTACACTCCTTAATTTGTATTAATCCTCCCATACTCTGAATTTCAAGATCTTTCTCCTTTTTACATCCAAATGTCCCACACAGTTATTTTCTGAAACCAATACGGGGACCTTCTTTTTTTTTTTTTAACAGAGACCTTCTTATTCCTTTGTTTTACCTATACTGAGCTGCTTACGAATGGATCCTTTTCCTCTGTGGTTCTATTTCCTTCCTTCATCCTTTCTGTGTGTAATGATCTTTCCTCTTTGGGGCTTCTGGCATGGACTCACTGTCATGGTCCTCTGCCACTCTTTAAGCAATATCATCTCAGACTTTCACTCACTTTCACGGGCCTCAACTGCAAGCTTTTTCTTTTTACTATCAGACAAGCAGGTGGATACAGTCTAGAACCCTTCCTGGGGATCAAGAACAGGATGGTATCCCTCTCTATCTGGAACATCACACATGGTCGGGGCACCTCTGTCAGTTCAGTAAGTGAGGTGGACTTCTTTATCTTTAGGTGTCAATAACACTGTCGCTCTTAACGGAGCTATGAGGCTTTCAAATGAGATGGGAAGGGTAGTGAGATGGGGCACCTCTGTCAGTTCAGTAAGTGAGGTGGACTTCTTTATCTTCAGGTGTCAATAACACTGTCTCTCTTAACGGAGCTATGAGGCTTTCAAATGAGATGGGAAGGGTAGTGAGATAAAAGTTGCCATATTGATAGCATTTTACTTGTTCTAGTCTTGTCAGAACTTGCTCATTTTGCCCATACATGTTTATCACATGCAAAAAAATGAAAAGTCTCTGTGCTGGGTGCTATGATGGTTGCAAAGTTCCCACTGCCCAAACATGCACAGAGCCCAGGAACCACACATATGACACAGAATGCAGACAGAGTAAAACAGGCGTAAACCACAGATGCTAATGAGACTTGGGTTACTATGCTGAAAAGACCAATATGCCTTCACTGAGGTGTGACAGCCAGTCCTTCCAGAATTGATGATATCTCAAAAGATCAACATTGGGATAAGAGAAGTGGGATTGAACATGCTGCCATTTGCACTATTTAAAGTTTTAAAGTCTGGAGCTGTTCTGTTGTATACATTTATTTTAAGATCTGGCCCTGCTGCTTACTGGCTGTGTGGCCTTGGGCAGGTACTTTACTGCTCTGAGCTCCCATTTCCTCATCTCTTAAATGAAGACACTTACAGGTCCTATTCCACAGGTAGTCCCAAGAACTAAAGAAGGTCCAATAACCAGATGACAATAAGCAGCTGATGAATATTGGCTATGGTGGTGATTGTGGTGGGGGGTCTGTCTACCCTCTGCCTTCCAGACACAGAAGCAGTAGCAACCTTGGCCCTGACCTGCATGTACAATAGGATTCCTGTAGGTTCTGAGGAAAATTACAGAGACTTGTTTGGTGAGGCACTGAAGGTTCTTGTGGATAGTATCAGCTTGAGGATCAAATCTGATGGCATCATCGGAGACATCTACAGCACTGGCCTTGCCATGCAGGTAAATGCATACTATATACTCCTGGCTTAGGCCAAAATAATAACCCTGAACTGTAGGACCAAGGGACTTTGTTTCTACTAACATACCGGGGAAAGTCTAACTAATGTGATTTGGGGTCAATTCCTGAACTAGTTTGCTTCAGTTTCTCCACTAGCAAAACGCAGGTATATGCTAGCTCATAGATAAAATGTGAATACAAACCTAAAAGAATTCATTCTCCTTTCTTGGAAAGAAAATGAAACAAATAAATCAAGAATTTTGAGGGTTTATTACCATAATAACCAGTTTACTAGTAGTGGTCATACACTATTGAAAGCTTAGAACATACATACTGATATGACAAGTAGGTCTTCCAAAAATATTGATGGAATTTTCTGCTTCAGACTTACCAGAAAAGTATTCTTTTTTCCTGCTTATCTTTACCCACAAAAATGATTTGCATTTAAAATTATTAATATAAATAATTTAAAGATTACTCTCTCACACACACATACACACACACAAATAAATATATATAAATAATAAAAAATAACCCAGTAAATAGCAGAGCCAAATCTAAGAAGCTAGGTCTGCTGACCATTCTATGCCTCCCTTACACATCTCCAGGATTAAATTAGGAAAGATGCTACTTGACAGCTTCGAATCCATCACCATCTCCCAGTTCCTGTTGACTAGAGCAGGAATTATCCACGGAAAGCAGGTGTATCAAGGATGGTGGGGAGAGATTAACAACTAGAATCAGAAATTATAGAGTCACAATGGTCAAATCCTCTAGCCCATACTGAGATATTAATGGTCTAAATGTCTTAGGAAATTAAGAGAAAAACTGCACCATGAACTCCCAACCTCAGAAACCCCAGGAAAGGGAGAGGACTAGAATTACAATGTCAGCCTTAAGCTTTGTGTAGCTCCATGTTGCTATTAAAAGGAATCATCTCCTAGGGGAAAAAAGAGAGAGAGACTGGTGTTGGTTCCCTCCACACACTAAAAATTTAGGGAAGAGTCCAAACAGCTCATGTAATAGTCAGTCTCAAGCATAAGAATGAAGACAAATCACTAGCCCAAAATACCATACGTGGAAGTAGTAGAGAAAAGCCAGCTTCTTTGTCATGGTCACCGGAATTTTATCACAAAACAAAACCATTTTCTCATGACTGAACCACACAAAATCATCCCCAGAACTCACGTCTAGAAATTTCTGGGGAAAGGAGGCAGCCTGAAGGAATGAATTTAAGACTGAGTCTGGCAGGGTGGGGTCATGTGCTTAACCTTGTCTAAGGAGTTTGATTGCTTTAGTGACAGATGCAGAACTGTTTACTTTGCTGATTTGGCTTAGGAATTCTGCTTGGGATTGCATCACTTTCTAGGTACACTCTGGTAGATGACACCTGAGAATAAACGTTTTTCCTATCAAGGACAAGACCTCATCTATATCCAGCTAACACTCACTATAAAGATTTCTTGTCTCTTAAGACACATGACTTCTCCCTGCCTGCCTGCTGAGGAGAGCCTTAGACCAAATTGCTGTGTAAAGTGGCCTCGATGGAGACTGGTGGTGTGCATTTGCTAAATAAAGTTAACAGGGGGACCATGCCCATCACAAAGGTCCAAGTGCCCACAGTGCTTTCCCTAGCTGAAACAACCATCTCTCACTCCCCTCCACCTTCTCCCATTTTCTCTTCCCAGCCTCATGCAAATCTGACATTAGCCAACACAGCTCACTACCATACTTGGTGGCATAACTGTAAGGGAAGGGAGTGTGCAATGGTCGTTTCCACATCATGCCTTGCAAAATGCTTTTCCACCCTTGCCCACTGGATCCTCAAATGATACCCCCTCCAAAGTCAAGCAGGGTTTACACTTTCTAATTTACCCCAGATAGAAAACTAGGCAATAAGTGAGTTGTTTGGTATAGTAATCCATTTTTCAGGTACCAGAAGCCCAATTTTAAAAATGGCAATTCAATATTTCACATACCTGGGTGTTTCCAGGACTGGATGAAGTGGTTTCAAGAAGAACCAGAATAAAAAGATCAAATGATGACATAAGGGACCACTATTAGTTGTCTCTCATCCCTGGTCTCACACATTCTCTCCTGCTGTGTGGAATTTAAGTTGGTCAATGACTGCTTGGTGTTTACTTATACAGTCCAACTGAAATATACAAGCAAGAGAAATGTTTTTCTCCTTCAGAATTGGTGTATCAGGGAAGGACTGATTGGTGCGTGCATCCTCCAGTCACTGTTCCCAAGGAATCAAGTGCAACCCAGGTCATGACTCTACCCCAAGGCCAGGGCTATGTAGGCTATGACAGTCCTGACATAGACACGTGCTTTTGGAGAAGTCCACCAAAAGGTGTGCATGAAAATACAGATCAAAAACTGTGTAGTGCATGTGCCAGTCCATACAGCAGTTTTAGCAGTATTTTCTGACTCTATTCATTGACCAGATAATTGTGTGGGTATTTTTTAAAAGAATTTGCCAGTGTTTGTTTCTTTACTTGTTTTATTTTATCTTATGGGTACAGGATGTTTTGCCTACCTGTATGTCTACGAATCATATGCATACCTAATACTTGAGGAGGCCATAAGAGGGTGACGTCATAAGAGGATGACAGTACCCCTGAAACTGGAGTTACAGGTGGTTGTGAGCTGCTGTGTGGGTTCTGGGAATCAATCCAAGGTCCTCTGGAAGGGCTCTTCACCACTGAGTCATCTCTCCAGCCCTACATTGTTTATTTCTTTAAATATCCTTTTGTTTGTTATTGATACACAGATTGCACCCACACCTCATGCATGCTAGGCAAATGCCTTGCCATGCTACACCTCCAGTCCTTCAACGACTATCATGGGACAGACACTGTGAAAGACAAATGCAATTCCAAATCTTGTGCTGCTTCAGATTAGATTCTAGAAGATCATAATGATTAGCAATAAAGTTCATCCCTCATAAGAGCCAACTCCCTGCCATACCTAACATTTCCTCTCTTTCTTTCTCCTTGCCCACGCCTGCCCCCTCTGTCCTAGGCTCTCTCTGTGACACCTGAGCAACCTATGAAGAAATGGGACTGTGAGAAGACTATGGATACAATACTCAAGGAGATTAAGCAGGGGAAATTCCAAAACCCCATGTCCATTTCTCAAATTCTCCCAACCTTGAAAGGCAAGACTTACCTAGATGTCCCCCGAGTAACTTGTGGTCCTGGTAAGAACTTTTCAATGACCTCCCCTTCTTATGTCATAAAGTTGCTACTTACAGTATAATGGCATGTAGCTTGATGCTGAATGGCATATAAGATTGCTTTGTCAATTCATCCCAGATCGGAAGAGCTACAACTGATCTTCAATCCCCAAGGATGTGTACCAGAAAACACACAGCCAAAGTGCCTAGCCTTCAGAATTCAGCTCCTTATACTGAACACCTCCTTTAAGGAGGTAGATGGCCCATGGTCACCATAGGAAGCTTCATTCATTTGACAAATGTGCTACCAAACATCATACATGTCTTATTTGCTCTTTACAAAATCAGAAGACAGACATGTAGACAAAACTACAGTCTTTACAGTAATGAAATCACTATTAAGTAGAAATCAACATCATCTACATGGCAAAAGCAAAAGATGAAGAGAAGGAAGGAGAGGAGGAGACTAATAACCAATTGTTGGTTTTATTTGGAGGGCTTAAAGGGCACAGATGCAATTCACCTAAGCCTTATCTAATACTGACAGCCTGACACTCACAGAACACCAACAGGATCAGGTAGAAACCTTGCACATTGCTTTATAGCATTTTTGTATCCAATCAAATATAATACTGAGATAATTAAAATTCAGATTGCCTATTCAGAGCCTTCCTAAAACTCTTGTCATTCCAGAAAAGGTCTCTGAAATCAACTCCTTCGATTCTTTTTTTTTCTTATCAAATACTTCCTCTTGCATTCACTAATTTCACATGACAGGATTATAAGCTCCTCATAGACTTCAGTGCCAAATCTACAGGGGCCAAACTCAAGCAAACCCACTGCCAGCATATGAAACATTGCCACCTTAGCCTCACTTCTGTGCTGCTTCCCAGTGACATCACAAGTTTAACATGGAGTTCTTGCCAAGATTCTATTTCATTAAATAACCTAAATACTATTTTCTTGAACTCTTCTCTGGGATAAGTTCCCAATAACAATGACTTTTGTATCCAGAACTCAAACACCAAAATCTTTAATAAACTTGGCCTTTTTGCTCCTCACAGATCACGGAGTGCCACCAACTGTAAATGACTATCCTACCCCTGTCCCCACCTCAGTATCTAACATTACCATCATATACACCATAAACAACCAGCTGAAGGGGGTTGATCTGACCTTCCATTGGACCATCGAGGTTAGTGTGAAAAGTGGATCTGTGCTACTTGTTGTACTAGAAGAAGCACAGCGCAAAGACTCCAAGTTCAAGTGAGTGGTGCAAATGATGCTGCCACCCCCCAAGCCTGACTCAAATTCCCATAAATCCATCCTCTCTCTCTCTCTCTCTCTCTCTCCCCTTGCTCTCTTCT